CCACAGGCTTCCGGGCCCTGCAGCAGCGGGTGCTGAAGCGCCTCCAGGACTCCAGCGTCTTGCCAGACCAGATCCAAACGCCGGAGGTGATCCCCACCACAAGGCACATGAAGTACTTGAGCATGAAGACAGCATAGTCAGGCTTGGAGCGGTGAGAGTCCCCCGGGCAGGAGCAGTTCTGTGCCTCCTCCCAGGCCTCCCGGTTGTGCTGCTCGTAGATGTAGCAGGCGATGACGATGGTGGCAGGCACGGTGTAGAGCACGGTGAAGATGCCGATGCGGATCATCAGCTTCTCCAGCTTGTGGGTCTTGGTGGGGCCACCCTGCTGCTTGATGACGCTGCGGATACGGAAGAGCGAGACGAAGCCGGCGAGCAGGAACATGGAGCCGATGGCCAAGTAGATGAGCAGAGGCGCCAGCACGAAGCCCCGTAGGTTCTCCAGGCTCTGGTTGCCCACGTAGCAGATGCCGGCCACGGGGTCCCCGTCCACGGAACTGAGCGCCAGCACAGCGATGGACTTGACGCTGGGGAGCAGCCAGGCGGCCAGGTGGAAATACTGCGCGTAGCCGGCGATGGCCTCGTTGCCCCACTTCATGCCAGCAGCCAGGAACCAGGTGAGGGACAGGATGACCCACCAGATGGAGCTGGCCATGCCGAAGAAGTAGAGGAGAAGGAAAACCACAGTGCAGAGAGCAGGGCCTGTGGTCTCGTAATGGATGTGGTGGTGCTCCGGGTTGCAAGCCACATTGGCGTGCCCTGCCACCAGGCGCACGATGTAGCCCAGGGAGACGAAGAGGTAGCAGGCAGAGAGGAAGATGATGGGGCGCTCAGGGTACTTGAAGCGCTCCATGTCAATGAGGAAGGTGGCCACAGTGGTCGAGGTGGAGAGGAAGCAGAGGATGGACCAGAGGCCGATCCAGAAGGTAGCGAAGGTCTTCTCATCCTGGGTAAAGTAGGGCTGGTAGCAGGGGATGGCACAGTTGAGTACCTTCCCGGTCCTGATGCGGTTGTACAGCGGATGGGACTCCTTGGAGATGGGGATCAGGGGCGCTTTGCACTTGCAAGTCTGACCACAGTCCAGCCCTGAGAGGCGCTGCCCATCGAGTGGCGTCAGGTTTTTGGCCATGTCCTTGGCAGGGCGTGTGGGCTTCCCAAAGAAAGGCGGCAGGGTGGTGGCTTCCGTGTGGTTGTATCCCATGCAAAGCACCTCGGAGTCCCCCAGCACCGGCAGGTTGTCACAGCTCATCCTCTCGGGCCAGGCGAAGCCGTATTGCTGCATGATGGGCGAGCAGCCGGCCTTGGCCCGCTCGCAGACGGAGCGGCAGGGGGGCAGCGGCTTCGTGTAGTCGGACAGGCAGATGGGGGTGTACATGCTGCAGAGGAAGAAGCGCAGGTCCGGGGAGCACTGGATCTCCACCAGCGGCCAGAACTGGTGCACCTCCAGCCCGGCCTCGTCCTGCGTGTCGTGGTTGAACTGGTTGGGCATGTAGGTGAGGTTGTAGCCGATGCCCTTGCA